AAAGACTCTCCAATGAAGCCTTTTGCTCTTCCTTTTGTTGGAACATCTAGGTACAAAAATAGAACAATATACTATTTTTTAAAACATAGAATTATAATCAAATAATTCCTACAGTGTGCCAGGCCTGCCCTACGCACAGGGATATAGCAGTAAACAAAACAGACAAGGTTCCTTCCTCATGAACTTGATAGTCTGCTGGTAGGAGCAGAAAAGCAGGCTAAATTATGCATTGATTGGTAGGTGCTATGAAGAAAATAAAGAGGGCCGGGTGTTGTGGCTCACACCTGTAATCCCAGCACTTTAGAAGGCTCAGGCGGCAGATCACTTGAGCCCAGAAGCTCGAGACCAGTCTGGGCAATATAGCGAGACCCCATCTCTAAAAAGGAAAAAGAAACAGGATCAGATGAATAAACAGGAGGCACTACAGTAGAGTGGGCAGAGAATGTGACATTTGAACCGAGCCCCTAAGGAGAAGCAGCAGCCAGCTACTCAGAAACTGGGGGAACAGTGCTTGAGACAAGAATTACAAAGGCCCTGAGGTGGGGACTAGAATGACTAGGTCCAGGACTAGAAAGGCCAGTACGGCTGACGAAACATAGTAAGCAAGGAATAAAGAAGTGTGGCATGAGGTAGGGAGGCTGGCCCAGGCCATGGCTGTATCCTAGGTCTCGGAGCCCATGGTTATTCTAAGTGTATTCAGAAGCCATTAGAGGGGCTGGGCATGGTGGCTCACGCCTGTAATCTCAGCACTTAGGGAGGCCGAGTTGGGTGGATCACTTGAGGTCAGGAGTTCAAGACCAGCCTGGGCAACATGGTGAAACCCTGTCTCTACTAAAAATACAAAAAATTAGCCGGGCATGGTGGCACACGCCCGTAATCCGAGCTACTTGGGAGGCTGAAGCAGGAGAATTGCTTGAACCCAGGAGGTGGAGACTGCAGTGAGCTGAGATTGTACCACTGCACTCCAGCTTGGGTGGCAGAGTGAGACTCCATCTCAAAAAAAAAAAAAAAAAAAAAGAAGCCATTAGAGGGCTTCAAATAGACATGACATGAAACTCCCTTTATTTGCCAAAAGTTTGAAAACAACACACTGAGTAGCCATATTGAATTGAAAGATTAAGTGATGAGAAAAAAAAATTAACCAAGGAGCAGAAATTTGGGTTTAAATGCTAAGTTTGATTTGGATTTATCTTTGGTTGTATATAATCAAAAGATAAATGGCCACAGTTCAAAAATCAACTAGAATGTCTTCACTGGCAACCTCATTCCTATAGAAGAAACACATCTGCTCACTCTGTATTATTTCTCCATGTTCCTATCTTCAGGCCATTCTACAGGTTCATGACAAAGAGGTCCTTGCCTCTCAGCTGCTGGTGCTGACGGGGCAAAGGCTGGCTCATGCGCTTCTCCACACCCAGACAAAAGAAGGAATGGAGCTGCTTGCCAGACTTCCACCCACACTGTGTACTTGGCTGAAAGCAATGGTCAGTACAATAGATCGAGATCAGGCAAAAGGTCATTTTCTTGAGTGCCTAGTTAATAAGTTATGAAGAAAATTTGACAAATGTAATTCACCTACTTACAAAGAAAAGCATTTTTATGTAATAACTCTTAAGTCAGTAACAATTATTGTTTAGTTGTCTATAATAGGTTATTTTTGTGTCCCATTTGCAGGACCCCCAGGACCTTCAAAACACTGAAGTGCCAATTGCAACAACAGCTAAACTAGTAAATAAAGTAATCGAGCTTTTACCAGAAAAACATGGGCAGTATGGTCTAGCCTTACACCTCGTTGAAGCTGTGGAAGCCGTATCTCTTCCTTCTTTATGACACTTACCTACTGGAAATAGTCTAAAATTATGATTATAACATGAAGTAGTGCATGGTTATTTTATATAGTAAGACCTGGAATTTTATGGGGAAAGTATGTCTTTTTTTTTTTCCTTTTGTAAAATAAATAAAAGTATGTACAACTTTTAAAAAAGTACAACCCTGGCTAAATTCCACTCCTTTGGTTAATATTGAAGACAAAATATAAACAACTATCAACTCTGTTATAATTAATACAGATGTTTTACTGTTTATTTCTAATTCAAACACTTAAATAGCTTTATTGTTAACCTTTGCTATTTAAAATTGATTATAATTTAGATTATGTTCTTATAAGATTCTATATTTCCTATTGAAAATGCTGTAATTCAATTTAAATGTGTTCATGTACGGTCCCCATCAGTAGAGTATTAGAAACACCCCACTCTCCTTTAGTACATGTTGAGAAAATGCCTTTGTTGTCATGCTCCAAATCCCACATGGGCTGCCACCTGGGAGCTCTGGATATTGAAAGCTTCCTTTCCCAGAGGTTCTGCTGTTGCCATCAGAGGAGGATGACCATGCTTGAGGAGGAAGAATGGGTTCAAGATCATCATATTCATCAGAAGGGGACACTAAATAGAACCCTTAACCTGTTGTACTTGCCAAAATTGAGAATAAGAGGTGTGTACAATGCAGCAAATTAATTATAATGTAAGTTAAGATTTGCTTTTTGCAAGTTGCAAAGTTGTATCCACATCAGGTCATTGTAAAAATGTATTATCTTGTAAAACTTATATATATAAAAAAAAAAGGCAAAGATACTAAAAATTTTAAGTCCAACTTTATTTTTCCTACAAGTGTTTAGAAATGCTTCTGGGATTTGCTAATTGTTATCTTGGGAACAGTATTGAAAAAACTGCTTAGTGATATTACAGCTTTAGCAAACCTACCTCACAGCTGGGATGAGAGGATAAAATACAACTAATTTTGTACCCTATAGTGCCTAGAGCAGTCCAAGTGCTAAATATTTACTGACTAAAACCAAACTATAGCTACTCGGGAGGCTGCAGGACGATCGCTTGAGCCCAGGAGTTTGAGGCCATCCTGGGCAATATAGCCAGACCCTGTCTCGAAAAAAAAAAAAAAAAAGAAAAAGAAAAAACCAAACTAACCAAAACTCTGTAAAAGAGTGCTTTGAGCTCTACAAATACCAAGTATTTATTATGGTATATTTTTAGAATGTAGCCCTACAGTGTAATTATGGGTATGTGTCATGGATCACAATTATTATTCATAGTAAGTCACTGTGATACAGAAGTTTGTTTCTTCACTTCCCCTTAAGAAGCCAACTATAGTAATCATGCAAAGTTGAGGAGTATGTCCTTCAGGGATATAAAGAAAAACAAATCTTGTTTTTTGAGCTAAAAGAGCACATCCAAACAAGAATTTAACTGGCTAAAATTTAGTAATTACTGTTAAGTAACTATCAAACTTAAAATCTTACAAGATTAAATGGTTAAGATGTCTTGAGTATTTGGGATGGGGGCCTGTGAGTCTGACTGAGACATACATTTTATAGAGTAGCAGCACTGGAAAGGGCTAGTCCAACCTCCCAGCCTCTGCTTGGGTCTCCACTGTCCCAGCCAGACACATCCTAGAATTCTTGTAAACATATCCGGCTCTGTATTAACAGTCCCTTGTTATACGTGTTCTAAGAGATTAGTTCTTCCTGTGATTTTTCCAAGTACGCTGAAAGTAGTATGAACTTAAGGAGGCTAGTCAAAGAAATTTGGAGTTATAGGTATTTTTAAAGACTAAATCCTCAATTCCATCATCACTTGGAGGGGAGGGGGCACTTGTTAAGCATTTTAGATAATAAAACTGGTTAAGCTTACTCTAGTAGAACAGACAATCAAATTTGGGGATTGCTGAGAACAATAATAAGCTGTAAGTATGGCTCACAGAATCCTGATACAAACCATTAAGTCTCTAGTTAGATTTGTTATCCTAAAATTTTTCATAGAATTTTAAAATTGAATTCTGACTTGTATGGTTAACAAAAGCAGTTAAATATTTTATTACTTATCAAGGGCTTTTAAAATAAATAAATCTGATAGGGAGAAAGGCAAATAAATACCTATGTAGACATTCTATAATAACAAAGAGCCATAGATGATAAAGGAATTAGATTTTAATGTAGAACAGGTGGTTTCTGAAACAAAGGTGTGTGGCACTTATTGTAGTTATTGATGAGACGCCAATAACCAGTAGTGTTTCCCTAGATATATGCCTACCCTCATACAACTTTCTCCATTAATGTTAAATATGCATTTTTATCTTATTAATTATATAAAGCTGAAGGAAAACAAAGTGTTCAAATAATCATAACTTCTACATTACAGGTTCTGTTTAGATGTAGAACTAGAGGGGCCAGGGTAAATGTAGATAAAGAGATATATAGCACCATGCTTCTAAATGCGTCATACTTTTGCAAACAGAAAAAAAGTTTTAACTTTATTATAAAAATTCGTCTGTGGGTCAAAGTAAACACTGTTACATTTAAATTGCTTTTTAAAAACAATTGCGATCTAAAGTCAAAAATCTGAAATTTAATAATATGAGAGACTTACACTGAATGTAATGTTCATTCAGAAGTTGCTGTGGTCCATTTCATTTATAAGGGACAAATATTTTTACAGTACACTATAGCAACAGCGAAAGCCCTCTCACCCTGATAGGAATGGGTTTGCTGGGTGTCTACCAAGTTAGATTCCTGCTGAATAGAATTAGGCATCCTTAAAAGATTTTAATCCAATACTGAATTGTTTATAAAATGCTTTCTCTATTGTAATGTACTGTAAGTAGTGAAATTCTGTATATATTGCTATTTTCTGTCCATTGTTGTGAACTTATGTATATTAGTGAAATAAATTTTCAGCTTTCATGTTGTTTCCTAAACATTCATAAGTATTAAGAGATTTCTTCCTCTCTTGAGTAACATATGTGGTGATTATTTTCTTTCTAATCCAACCCCAAAAACTAGCTATTCTGAAAAGGTTGATGTTCACTAACAGGAAGAATGATATGACCCTTCACCTCTTAAGGGAAACACGCCTTCGCCATTCCCTTTCAAAACTCTACTACTTTTACTTGCTATTGACAACTTCTGCACCAACATCAGTCAGTACTTTTCCAGAATGCCTTTATTTTCAGTGTGATAGAATTTAAATACTGAGTCAAAAGATTTATAAAATATAAAACATTTTCTGCTCGGCCATATTTGAAGACAAGCTGAATACATATCTATGTTCTGAATAAGTCCATTATGGATATATATAGGAAGATATATATATATATCCATCCACAGATACACACACACATATATATATTTCTGCATATATATACACATAATTCTTTCTATAGTTACAGGAAATACTTCTTTTATAATTCTGATTTTGACCATCCTCCACCATTTACTCATCCACTCATTACCTAAATCTTGGCTTTCTTTCCAATATTGTAAATAATCCATCTAAACTTCTAGCCAGTACTGTCAGGAGGGTTCTTGCTCAAGTGAGCTGTTAATACTATTTTCCACTAACAACTTCTGCACATCGAGGACAGAGTGTATCTGAAGACTCCGCTGTATACTTCCAACAACGAGGGCATTTTTCTTTCGTAGTCGGCATGACAATTACTTTATAGGAAGACTCTTCACGAATATCACCACCTATAAAAAAATACATGAAGAGAATTTCTGATAGGCATTCAACTTGTAACACTGTTTCTTAATTGGTTTAGCAGAGGCTTCTTTTTCAGTCTTCTGTCCTGCCTTGGTAAAGCTTGTTAGACACTTTCCCGTTTGCCCCATTACATATATAGCCAAGATAATGGGATCATACAACTCGACAACTGAAGAGAGCTGAGGAATTAGAGACCCCGTGACTCTGAGATTAACTGACATCTCCCAAGTCACCGAGTTCTACATCTACTCAGGCAGAGCAGACTTTCTAGCTGTTAAATCTGGATATAGTTCTGATGAATGACACTGCCTCTCCAGCTACATACATGACTAAGAATTTTTAAAATTATAGTGACAACTATGGCGTCCTCACTCAAAATTTCTCATGGGACAGAAGGAACCAAAAATATCTCCACAATTAATACTCTTAGACTTCGGACTAAGAGTAAAAATATAAAAGTAATCTAGTCATTGTACAAAGAGTATATTAACATTACATGGCTGGGCACGGTAGCTCACGCCTGTAATCCCAGCACTTTGGGGGGCCGAGGCAGGTGGATCACCTGAGGTCAGGAGTTCGAGACCAGCCTGACCAACATGGTGAAACCCTGTCTCTACTAAAAATACAAAAATTGGCCGGGTGTGGTGGTGCGCGCCTGTAATCTCAGCTACTTGGGAGGCTGAGGCAGAAGAATCGCTTGAACCTGGGAGGCGGAGGTTGCCGTGAGCCAAGATTGCACCATTGTACTCCAGCCTGGGTGACAAGAGCAAAACTCTGTCTCAAAAAAAAGGAAAGAAAAAATTATACAAAGTAAATTTAGCCAGAACTTTTACTACATGGTTTATGCTGCCAAGCCCAAATTTGAACTGCTGCCTGTAAGTTAGCTTCCCATCTCCTGGTACCCAAAAGCTATGAAAAACACAAGCAGCATAACCTTTGCCAAGATACCTGCTTATTTTTCTTTTTTTTTTGTTTTTGAGACGGAGTCTCGCTCTGTTGCCCAGCCTGGAGTGCAGTGGTGTGATCTCGGCTCACTGCAAGCTCCGCCTCCCAGGTTCACGCCATTCCCCTACCTCAGCCTCTCTGGGAGTACAGGCGCATGCCACCACGCACAGCTAATTTTTTTTTTTTTAGTAGAGATGGGGTTTCACCATGTTAGCCAGGATGGTCTCAATCTCCTGACCTCACAATCCACCTTGCCTCGGCCTCCCAAACTGCTGGAATTACAGGAGTGAGCCACCGCACCTGGCCTGTTTTTCTTTATTAATGCAACTCTACCTCCACCAATGAAGATGAACCAGGTTGACTTTTAAAATCTTCTATAAAACAAATATTGACAAAATGCTTGCTTATGAGATACCATCATTAGAATGAGCTCAATAAAACTTCCTCCTTAATCCCTGACAAGAATGGCTAAATATTTTAATCTGGGGTACACATAATAGGAAATTTTAGAATCAACACTGGGGAACAGTGGGCAGGACTGGGCCAGTACTGGGGTACTAAGTATCAAAGCAGGGGGACACAAAAGGGAAATGGGAGCAAGTCAGACTAACATAAACTTCATATAAAATGACCATTATTTATTTAAAGGACAGAAAGAAAATCTCTCTCCCTCTTCAGTCCCTAGCCCTCAGTTCCCAAGATCATCAGGCAAGATACTTTTAACAGCGGGCTTAGAAACTTGGCAATTGTTTATATTATTTCCACAGAAAGACGTATTCTAAGTACATATCTACCTTTAGAATAAATCTAGTCCATGGGAAGTTGGAGATGACCCAGAGTTATTCAATTCTCCAGATGTTACTTGTTACTTTCACCTCCTTCTTACCTTCTAAGTTGATGAGGAATTTCCCTTTAAGCTCAATTACATCTGCAGTCATCTCTCGTGGTTCCTGAGCCAGTAAAGTTGACTCAGAAGCCATCATTAATTCATTCAACTGAGAGGTGCTGGAAGTCTCTTCAGACTGCAGCATCTGTAAGAAAGCATGTGAAAGTTACAGTTTATGTTAAATTTTTACCATAAACTGAGGTTATAAATTCTCATGTTTAGAGAGGAACCTTTTGGTATACCATTGCATCCTGAGCAAATACCATTAAATGCATCAATCCTAATTAGTATAAAAGGTTTTAACTAAAAATGTCCATCAACAGTATTTATTGAGAATGCCAGGCACTTCACTTTGCTAGATCCTATAATGTCTCTTATTTCTAATTGTCGCATACACACAAAAAAACCTATATGGTGTTTATTATCCTCACTTTACAAATGAAGAAACAAGCAAAGAGAGGTTAACTTGCCCAAGATTCTCAACCAGTAAGTGGTGGAACTGCAGGTCAAGCCCAGGTCTGCCAGCCTCAAAGTCTTTTTTTTTCATGTATCATTGGGTAAGGAGCTAAAATACTATCTCAACAGGTACCTGCTTTTAGTAATGTACACTGATCGTGGCAATCTGAACAATACACAGAACGCTTCTGAAGTAGACTGAATTTGTCTGATGAACACACTTTACTCTGTAATTTTGATCTTCAAAGTGAGTTTTTAAGCTAACCAACACAGACATTCCTTTAAAAATGAGAGTCCATGAGAAACAGGAGACTCAAAGAGATGAATTTGGTTTTAACAAGTTTATACAATTAGTAATGGATGGAACCAGGACTCCATCTAACAGCTCCTTGGTATGATTCCTAAGGAAAACACATTCATGTTTTTGAAAATCCCAAAGTATTTTTTCCAATAAAGATTGATCCAAACAAGCTGTTCTTTTCAGTTTATTACTTAGAAAGACTGAAGTCAAAGGAAACAGTATGCAGGAAAAAAGGCCAGGACTAGGCTGTGTTACCCTGGGTAGGTCATAGCTTCAGCAGTCCTCACTTCCTCGCTTGTAAAATGAACAGCTTCCCAAGTTTTAAATTTTAAAATGTGAACATCTCATCTATTATACCTACTAGCTATTTCAAGCTCAAATCTTAATCACGCTAATCACATCATTAAAAATATAAATTGAGCTTACCATACAAAATGAGATGGGTATTTTTTAGAAAACTGACACTAATAAAACTTTTTAAAAATGGCTCTTTCCACCATCTTTCTGCACCACCACGATGGTGCACATGAATGTCCTGGCTGATGCTCTCGAGAGCACCAACAGTGCCGAAAGAGAGGCAAAAGCCAGGCTTTAGGCCACGCTCCAAAGTCATCATCCAGTTGCTCACTGTGATGATGAAGCATGGTTACATTGGCAAATCTGAAATCACTGATGATCACAGAGCTGGGAAAACTGTTGTGAACCTCACAGGCAGGCTAAACAAGTATGGAGTGATCAGCCCCAGATTTGATGTGCAACTCAATGATCTAGAAAAATGGCAAAATAATTCTGCTTCCATCCCGCTAGTTTGGTTTCATTGTACCGACAACCTCAGCTGGCATCATGGACCATGAAGAAGCAAGATGAAAACGCACAGGAGGGAAAATCCTGGGATTCTTTTTCTAGGGATGTAATACATATATTTACAAATAAAATGCCTCATGGAAAAAAAAAATTATATTCATTGTCAATTGTCTTCTTAAGCATTTAGACTGGAGAAAAATCACATCATTATGTGAAGCTATAAACCAATCTGGCCAATCAACCCTAAAAATCCCAAGAAGAAAATTCTGATGGCCCTTCTGGAAATAAAAACAGGATAAATGCTTTGAAATATATGTGGTAACTTGCTGGATAAAATGAATTTTCTCCAGATTTCACAAAATAAAAATGGAAACTCTTTTTGGGTTTGTTTTGAATCTGGTCCAGATGGATGAAATTCTCAGGAAACCGGACCTTTAATACAAAACGCCCAATTTTTATACATTCGAAGGCGATCATGATGAATTTATATGTCACCTGTCTTCTAAATAGTCCTGAGGCCTTTGATTTCAAACAGAACTTTATTTATTCCTTCCCTGTCCCTACACAGTAACATATACGTGTTACATGCATAGAACATGTTTTACAAGACATGGAAAAGAACATGGTGAAGTAGGAAACAAAGAATCAGTGATAATATCAGGATTAGAAGACAAACCCTAATTTCTAAATTAATTTTTTTTTAAATTTAGACACATTTTAAAAGCAAATTTCAGGCAAAGCACTATGATACTAACACCATTTCAAAAGGGACATATTGCTGCATACCTCTATTATCTCGAAAAGCAGTCCAGGTTCTATCACTATGATAACCTTGTACTCAGCTGCATTTTTGCCAGGGATGCTTCCGAGAAATGAATCTCGCATTGCACACGCACTCTCCACAGCTTCTTCCAACCCGGGCTTCTTCCAGATAGAACTAGTACTAATCCACCCAGTACGGAAAACACTCTTGGGCTCTTCAGAAGAACAAAAACAGTAAACTGCTTTACAAACATCCTAAGCTGTATATGAAGCTCTAACCATTAAATATTTACCATTAATGGGAAATAAGAATTGTTATTTACGGTAATCAAGTGATGAAATATTATGGAGCCATCCTAATTATTTACAAAACATTTCTATCAGCATTGGAAAATATTTGCTACCTTTAAACAAAAGAGAAAATATATAATAAGAGCTCAAAGAAAAAAAAGGATGCTTAGAAAAAAATAATATAGAAATATCCCAATATTAACAGCTATCAGTAGTAAGATTATAAGTGACTTCCCCCTCTTTCTACAACTATCATATAATACTCACTAAAAGCACTATATTTTGTTTTAATATAACCTAAAATATATTTCAGAACTTTTTTTTTTTTTCCCAGAAGGAGTCTTGCGCTGTCACCCAGGCTGAAGTACAGTGGCATGATCTCGGCTCACAGCAACTTCCATCTCCTGAGTTCAAGCAATTCTCCTACCTCAGCCTCCCAAGTAGCTGGGACTGTAAGCGCCCGCCACCACTATGCCCGGCTCATTTCAGTAGAGATGGGGTTTCGCCATGTTGGCCTGGCTAGTTTTGAACTCCTGACCTCAAGCGATCTACCCACCTCAGCCTCCAAAAGTGTGGGGATTACAGGCGTCAGTCACCACACCTGGCTATTTCAGAACATTTATAAAGGTATTTAAGAAAAAAAGTGATTTCTCAACACAGTCAAGCTGCTAATACATTTCAGAAAACACAGAATTCTGAAATTTACCCTACCCCTCTACAAATAGGTGCAGAAACAAATACATGACCAAGATATACTGTCACAGAGCACTCACTGTAAATGGATAAGTGCCCCTTTTATGAAGCAGATAAAATTAGAAGTTGCACCTTTATCAGGGCTCTTTCTCATTAAGAGAATAAACAAAGTATTCCTTACCTTTAATATAAGGTATGTGTTGGAACACCTCTTCAGCCAGGTGAGGAAGAATGGGAGCAAAAGAACGAACTATTACATCCAAAATTTCAACTAATGCAGTCTGACAAGAGCGTCGCCTGGGGTCATTTTCCTTTTCACAATAGAGCCTGAACAAGAACAACTTATTCAGCAGTTGACAATACTTTACACATTATGGTCACCAAAATAGGACCTGCCTCAGGTTGAGTTTATTCCTAGTGGCTAATCTTATGGTTCTAATCATCTTCTACTTAAAGAATACGATACACTCTCCTACAATTTCACTCCGTCCAGGTGTACCCACCTCCTCGAAAGCACTCATGGCTAGCTATCTCATTCTGTTCCTCAGGTGGATGACAAGCAGAGTCTAGACTACCATATTAAAGGACTATGAATAAGTTAGTTGACGGTATTTCACATGTGGCTCCTACCCACTACAATGCTATTAGTGTTTTAAGGGAAGGAGTAGGAGTTAGAATCCCTATGTGCAAGGTCCTTGGGGTGCTGACAGGCTGAGGCTAACACCTCAGACTGGACTCATTATCATAAAGATAGGACCATCACCTGCCCACTGGAGCAACAGATGAAGACTTGGCATCCAGCCCTCTTCTACAAGGATACTGCTAATATTATATACTGTTACCATATAATTGCACATACATCTCTCTCTCTTCCCCTCAGGATCTGAGAACTCCTGAGAACAAGTATTATGTTCATCATCTGATACTAGCAGTGATGATTTTTTGAACACTTTATCAAGCACAGCGTTAAGCACATTATTGCTTTTCCTTCTCGATCACGAGGTAAGTATTATTATACTCATTTTACAGATGAAGAAACAGATTACAGAATAAGTTGCCCCAAATCAGAAAGCTAGTAAGCGGGAGGGCAAACCTTTATACTCAGGCTTGACTCCGGAACCCAGTCTTAATAACTGCACAACACTGCCCGTCGTGCTCATCACTGAATCCCCGACGGTTGCCAAACACAAGTAGACACTCAAAAAATAGTTGCCGAGGTTTTGTTGTTGTTGTTTTCTGAGACGACGTCTTGCTCTGTCGCCCAGGCTGGAGTGCAGCGGCACAATCTCCGCTCATTGCAACCTCCGCCTCCCAGGTTCAAGCGATTCCCGTGCCTCGGTCTCCTGAGTAGCTTGGATTACAGGCATGTACCACCATGCCCAGTTATTTTTTGTATTTTTAGTAGACACAGGGTTTTGCCATGTTTGCCAGGCTGGTCTCGAACTCCTGGCCTCATGTGATCCACCCGCCTCGGCCTCCCAAACTGCTGGGATTACAGGCATGAGTCACCACGCCTGGCCATTGTTAAGCATTTTAATATTTAGTCATACATACCTATCTTTGATTATACTGAAATAAAAGTGAGAGAGCTCTCTGGTATAAAATGTCCGTAACAGCCGAACAACTTTTCCAAAATCATATTGTTTGTATAATTCGGTAATCTAGGGAACAAAGTCAAAATAAATTGGGAAGCTGAGACAGGCAAATGAAAATGTTAAGTCATCACAAGCAAAATATGCTCATTTCAAAAATATATTTCAAAGAGACAAATACAAAACAGGCAATATGCAAGAACTCCTGGGAATCTTCAAAATGTCATTTCTGGAAAACACATTTGACTACACTCAGAAAATACTATTTTACTCTGAGAACTATGAAAGAACATTTATCAAGGAAAGAATGAGATTGTAAATAATAAAATCACACCAGTTTTACAACAGCAAACAGTGGAAGTTACCAACAATTCATTAGTGTTCCTTCACTGATGCCTCATTTATTTTTGATTGGGCAAAACTGGTATGTACACTCTGACTTAAGGGTGCACTAATGCAAATACATTTCCAATTGTGAGAAAACACCATTTTGTTTTTTTTTTTTTTAAAGACAGGGTCTCACTCTGTCAATCACGCTGGAGTGCAATGGCACAATCACAGCTCACTGCAGCCTCAAAACCCTGAGCTCAAGCGATCCTCCTGCCTCAGCCTCCCAAGAAGCTGGGACTACATGCACTCGCTAACACGCCTGGCTAATTTTTAAAACTTCTGTAGAGATGGGTTCCCACTCTGTTGCCCAGGCTGGTCTTGAACTCCTGGCCTTAAGGAATCCTCCCACCTTGGCCACCCAAAGTGGTAGGATTTATAGGTGTAAGCTTCTGCGCCTAGCCAGAAAACACAAATTACTTAAGTCTATATAAAAATGAGCAAATATCTTATGAGACAAATAGGAATAGTCATTTTGGTTATTTCTGTACTTTATTACGAGAAGCACATCTGCAGATAAATAAAGTATAACTCCACTTTATTCCTTCTTGTTGGAGAAATAGAGCTAATTGTAAGAGAAAAATCTGGTCTGGACATATTTCTCTAATATTTTAAGAAACTCAAAAGATATGATAACACTTTATACCTAAGGCCAACCTGGGAATGTGTGGAATTTAGCAAGCATAACCTTTTCAAGAGTGTATAGTTACTATTTCCAGCCAGGTCTGTTCCACTGAGATAAAACTAAAATTTTAACCTAAAATAGTGCTGATATTTCTAGTTTCCAGAAGTTTATTAATTTACATTTACCTTGTTTGCCAAATCCTGCAGTAAATGTAGCATATACTGGTCTATGACATACATATCGTTAACAGGGATGGAATCTGTTTCTGGGTTGAAATCAGCCACATTTCCCAAAAGAAAGCGGAGTGTATTCCTAAGCTATTCATAGGAGGAAAATACATGCAGTTAAAAAAATTGAATGATGCCATCAATTTTCACTGAAAAGTTATGCTTTTACTCTGTAATTAAGTTGGATTCATCCAACTCTTGTCATTTTCTTAATGGGGTATTTTTATTATCATTTCAAATAACACTACAAATGTAAAAAAATAAAAGGCAAAAAGTACACAACAAACTCTTATTCCAATAACCCAGTTATAGAAACAACCACAGGATTTTTATGCCTAATGACTGAATTTTCATTACATTTCTTTATTACGTTAGGACGAATGACCTTTCAGTAGCCCAGTTTATTCATGTGTGTGGGTCAGAATAATGTTATTTCACTTGCTTCACAGGTGAAAATAAAGATACATGGAAAAATGTGAAAGGTTATTGAGTACATAAATATATAAAATTAATATAATCTATACTATGCTATACATTTTATATATTAATAAAATATAAAGGATATTACATACAAATTACATAAAGTTACTGGTATTACTACCAATGTTTTGAAACAAATAAATTAACACAAGACTTTTTTTTTTGAGACGAGGTCTCACGCTGTCACCAGGCTGGAGTCCAGTGGTGGGATCTTAGGTCACTGCAACCTCCACCTCCTGGGTTCAAGCGATTCTCCTGCCTCAGCCTCCCAAGTAGCTGGGACTACAGGCATGTGCCACCACACCCAGTTAATTTTTTATTTTTAGTAGAGGCGAGATTTCACTATGTTGGCCAGGCTGGTCTCGAACTCCTGACCTCGTGATCCACCCACCTCTGCCTCCCAAAGTGCTGGGATTACAGGCATGAGCCACCATGCCCGGCCAACACAGGAGATTTTTAAAAGCTCACAATATATGGAGAACTCATTTTCATTCAGTTTTTTCAGTGCCAAACAAAATGTGTCTCATTTTTTAAAACCCAGATTTGGCAAATCTGTCCTTTAGAAATAGGAAGAATAATGGTTCTAACCTTGCTAATATCATCTCTGGCAGCATTGAGCACGGATGGGCCGATTGCAACTTCGGTGAAGACATTGGAATCAGCTACCCACCAGCGAAGGACATCAGCGCCATAGGGAGGCTCTTTGCTTTGATCCTTTCCATTGAGAAAAAATATATAAACACAATGGCTTTCAATTCCAATTAGCTGAACAGATGTTTTAGGTAAAGCTCCTATTCAGAAATTTTTGAGCACAATACAAATATAAACTATACTAGCATTGTAATGAAATGCAGGCTAACAATCTCAAATTAGGCTGTATCTACAAAAAAAAAACTGGAAAAAGAAAGAGGGTGCTCTGCAATTTTGTTCAACGCACAAATGCTCATACCTAATCTCTTCCCTGGTCATATCTGTTTCCATGTATTACAGCGGGCAGTTAGACACACAGCAGTGCCAGGGAGGTCTCTACAATAAGGGAGGGGAAGAGGAAGGCCTGCTTTTCCTTTCACTATTTCCTAGCAACTCTGTATACAAAACAATGAATGGTTACAGGATGTTAGGAGGGCAGTAAAAAGCCACAGGAGTTAAAAAATAAAAAATTTAAAAAAACAGACAAACGATTTATTTCACAAAAGCAGCTCCAAAACCCCCCCAAATTATCAGCAACCTCAGATTTGATGTACATTTAGGACCTGCTTTAAAATGTATAATTTTCAACAACATAATAATGAAATGTGCACTTAGAAGTTGTAATCTCATTTTTTCTTTTATCATTTCCATTTAACTATACAATTACACTTTGCACATTTTTTTTTCCACTTCAGACAGTAATGTGCCAACACTATAACAAGGTTTGAGGGAGGCATACCTCACACAATAGTGTGAAAACCCAATCATCACCCTTACGAATCACAAAAGGATCTATACATTTTGAAGGCTCTTAGACAATTAAAAAAGGCCAGGTGCAGTGGTTCACACCTGTAATCCCAGCACTTTGGGAGGC